CATGGTACTTTCAAGTTTGTTTTGATGATTGGAACGAATGTGATGTATCTCATTTCTCACATTTTTTTGTTCTGTTAATTGCCTTTAATCGTAAGTCAAGCCAGGAAGTCTGTGGGTCTTGTTTTGAATTACACTCTGTAAATATCTTTCTTTGGCTACTTTTGCAACTCAGCTAATTTGGAATAGTGCTCTGTGAGAAAACGAGAGTCTAAAGAGTTTCACCTTCAAGTGATAAAAAGCGGGCAGTTCGTTGATCTATTATTCTTTTTGATCTGACGTGAAGGTTTCGATATCGAAAGGTTATGTTAGTGAGCGCATTTACCAGCATATAATTAACACCGGAAGCAGGCCTGTAGTATCTATTCCAACTTCACACGTATATGAATGCTTTTGATGCGAATTTTCCTTGGTTTAAAGTTCCAAAAATCTGTAGAGGAGTATGGAGATTGTCCACTTTGTAACAGTAGTTTACTAATGGTGTTGAATACTTTATGTTGTTGTAGAGATGAAAGTTAAATTTTGCTAGGGGTGTACATGATTATAAATACACCGCAAAAGAAAGAAACCCTAACGAAAAAGCTTAAACTGGAGGAAAATTAGTGGTACAGACGAACAGACGGACAAAGTGCGGACAATGGATATCACTTTCTTGTTGGAAAATGCGCTAAAAAGTCTACAGGGGGTTTAAATTATAAGTGCAATTTAAATATAATAAATTCAATACGTGTTAAGTTTGCAGTTTCGGATTAAAATTACTAAGTGTCTTTGGCGTAGTTAAATTTTTATAGCATTGTGACTTTTCAGGGAGTTTAGCGTCAATAATTTGGACGTAAAGCCGTAAATAACATTATAACGCAGGGGACGTGATTAAAAAGAAATCACTGGGAAAAAAAACGCAATGGATTTCACTGAAAACATATAAAAAAATACAGAGACAATATCTATACACAAGGAGCTTGCAGTTTCGTAGAAATCAACAAATCCAGGGAAAATTCGTTAAGAAGAGGTATCGTAAATTTTCTTTATTGTTTTGTGTAAAATTAACATTGGTGCATTTTCTATTTACGAAGATGGAATAAAAAGTAGAATGTTTATATTATGTTAATTAAAAGGAATTTTTTTGTACTCCTTAAAAAGGTACCAGTCGTTGCAATTTCGTTATTTAAGATCTTCATTCCACAAAACAATCCTTTTGGCTAACAATCCGTTAACAGGGATTTGATTTTGGTTAAATGCCAACTTTATGTTCGATTAAATTAGTAAATGAGGATTTCCCTGTGAATAAGATGTGCCTGGTAAAGAAATTCGAATATATTTTTTTGAATTTCTAGAATACCTAGTTAATCAAAACGTGGCCATGGTCCTTGTCTCAAAAAAGTTATCAACAGCCCTTTTTAAAGGACCAGAGTCTTTGTGGATCTATTGTCTGGATTCCAACTTTGATTCTAGGTCCCAATGGTGCACCCAAGTCTCAGAACCAGTCAAAATTCGTGCCAAATAGTCAGCATCCTTTTCCAAAGCTGCCAAATAGCATTGCAAAATTTGCAATCTGCACAACTTTTGTTCAGGGTTCAACCGCGCTGATGATACCGTGCTCATGTCCAAATGGCCATGAATTATGGTTAACACACTAAACCAATGTCAGTACAGATAGTGCAGACCTTGACACGACAATTTGGCCACCACTTCATCGTTTGTTGCAGTTCTTGGTCGGCCACCTTTATGATAATCTTCAATGAATTCCTGTCCCCCTCGAAACTGTTTAACCCAAAATTTTAGCACATAATGCGACGGCAACCATTCTTTCTCGAATCGTTTTCGGCTAACGCCCTTCTTTTATCGGAAACTTTATGACGCTGCCTGCTGCCATGCTCTAACTTCAGGGAATTCATATTGTCGCACAAAACACCGCATAAATTGCAAGATAATTGTCACACGAAATTCCTGAATGCCTGAATAGATGTATGATCAATTCAAAAAAAGACTGATAGCACCCCTTTAGGTGCAAAATTAAAAAAACTCAGATCCAAATCAGGTAACGCCAAAATGGGCCAATTAAAAAAATCAATTATTTTCGACCTCTATGTACAGAACCAAATAAGCTACTATTTATGTATGCAGCCTTAAGTTAGCTCCATCACATTTACCATGCAGCCAGTTTTGCATCTTTATGTTTACTGGCCTTCACGAGCTTCATTTTTTCGTTTGCACCAAAGCCCCATAACCATAATCGCAATATTTGGAAAATGATGTGGTCACCTCACTTACCTATCATGTTTTGTGTCTGATGCCGGTCCTTTAGAATTAATTCGTCACTCAACAGTATTATTTTCATCCCAATTGGCTAATTATTTGCGATATTGTTTTTTTAATCAAATGTTTCGTGCATTTTGACGAATATTCAACTTGAAATCCGCAAAGTGCCAATTTAATATTTCCAGTGAGTTAATAAATTATGAATATACATAATAGGGTGCGTGTGAAATAATTATATAAAGGAACAATTTAAGTTACGGTGCCTGTCACACATAGAGAGCAATTTATAAAATATAAAAGTTATGGAATACAAAACATAATTTTGGAATAGTACCAACGTGGGCGTAAACCTTCAAATTATCCTCCTCCATGTCCACAGCATATGTGAAGAATGATTTATATACTCTTGTGGTGTACCGAACTGTCTTCTTTAACAATAAATCTCGCAAACTTTTTTAAGATTACTGTTCCCAGGAGACAACTCGACATAACCGATTAATTTCGCTTTCCGGCATTCTTTCACAATTCGCATCCACTTTTTTTGCTAGATGGCGCACTTAATTATTTTCAGACTGGCATTACTTCTAATGAAACCTTCCGTCGAATAAATTTCGGTCTATCTGAAAATCTCAATTTAAATTTTCCACGAAATTTAACAGAAAGATTACTTTAACTTCAGTCGACATTAAAAACGACAAGTTTTCGGTTTGAATAAATAACCAGCCTGCACTGTCCAATTTCATTATTTGTCCCCGCAAAAGTTAAACTCTAACGTTATTATATTTGAAAAGTTTCAAATAAAACCACATAATCCGCGACATCAACCTACGTCAGTTCATATTTTCCCAGCGGTTATTTTAAAAGTCCCCCTATAATTCAATTTACTCGTGAACGCATTATGAACATTTTATTTAATCCTCACAAAGGGTTTTTTTTAGATTACGTAGATGTGTGCTCCCGCATTCGGTTTAGTTGCGAAAACTAATCCATCGAGGTTATTGTCTATGCCTATCTGGCTGTAGAATTTTGTTTTCAACACGTCGATGTAATTGGAAACGTTTTCGGCGGTCACCAGAGCAACGGCACAACCGCCCCAACCCGCTCCTGTTAGTCGTGCTCCTAATGAGAAATTTTGGGATATTTCAACGAGCGTGTCCAGTTGGGGATGGCTGCATTCGTACAGATCCCTCAGGCTGCTGTGACTTTCGGACATCAGTTTACCTAAGGTTTCTAGTGCTCCTTCGGATGAAAAGTTATTACAAGCTTCGTGAAACTTTTGTACCCGAAGCGCTTCTGTAACAAAAACACAAATGTTATTTTATCATATAGGTACAGAATTTTACCTTCAAAAACGTGTAAAGCTCGCTGATGTAACTTGAAGCTTTCGATGTGTTTAGTGTTTGGGGTGAGCGAGGTTTGGTCCAAAACTGCGCTCGTTGTTTTTAATTCGTCCACAATTTCCTCTTTAGTATACGGGCTTTCGTGCAGTATCTTTTTTACCAAAGCAATCATCGTATGCAAACTGCCCTTTAAACCAGACTGCAGATCTGAGAGCGTCTTTACGGTGAACCAATCGATACCCTGATGCTTGGCAATAAGCTTAAATGTAAATGGTGAAGCTTAGTAAAATCTTTAGGGAGAAATTACCTGAGCTGCTAGGCGGCACTCAACAACCCGACAGTTAAAATCCGCCGTGGCTGCTTTGTTTAAACGTGTTAGGCTGTGGGCTATCACGAACACGGCTCCAGGGGGCAAAGAAACATCTTTACATCTCAACGGGGTGAAGTCGATCAATTTCGCACATCCTGAAACGGATTTCGAACAAATACAGTTCTTATTCTCTGCTTACACAAGCTCGGAATATTGCCAGAACGCAATAACGCTAAATTACACATACCCTCGTTTGCCAAAAAGGCAATCGCTTGATCCATACCGCCGCCTTGTGTACCAATGTACCGCTCACACCTCGCGCATAAATTAGCAAGTTCCTTCTTGGAGATGTTGAACTGAAAACATTTCGTATAAAACTTTTTCGATTATCAATTGTTGACATTATGTACAACTTTTCTTTGTGACGGAACGGAAATTGCGAAGCAAATATTACTCCAACATGATGAAGTTTTAATTCCCCTACGTTTGTAAATAAATTGCTCTGTATCCGTATATATAGTTTTGTAGCTCAAACACTTCTGCCGAATCGGGCAATTGAAACAATCTGTTCGAAACAACGCGCGCTATAATTTTTGTTTAACTATTTCGCTTACAAGGTAAATATAAAGGTTATAACCATTTAACTTGTGGGTGACTAGAAAAAAACTAAGTTCAACTTCAAAATTCTGTTTTATTCAGACATTCGGCAACTTCCGGAGTATTCTGGATAATGGTAACCCCCAGAAAATGAGTGACTGAAAAACTGGTCCCTTGGAATAATCTCCCTCAAGAAAGATTTACCGTTTCGAGAGAGACATTTACTTTTACATTCACATTAAATTCAGTTTTGTGTAATCTTTTTTATATGTTGTTTGCTTTCCTTGTTTGTTACATCGTTCTATTCTCCATTCTGAGCAAATATTAATTTATTACAATTACGCTTAAATAAACGCTTTTTTCTACAATCGATATCCAAAGTAGGCATTTGCGCTCGTATTTGACAACGCAAACGTCATCTTTTTCGAGGAATGTCACTTTGTCGCTTATAAGCGACAAAATAGAAAAAACGCTCGCTCTCCCAATTATTAACTATAAATCAAATATGCATTGCTCAGAGTATCCAATGACAACGAGTAAATGACATCTTTCATTTGGGCATAAGATTAAAATGATTTGAGTGAAAAATTTAAATTTTTGGAAATATGTGAACTGCTCGATTGTAGAAAAAACCTTGTGTGTAATTCGAGCGCAAATTGATTGTCGATTTCAAGAGATTGCCGCGCTCCTTCGTCGCGCGTCAACTGTCTCTTTCAATCGACAATATATCATTTTGCGCTCTTAATACACAAATAGCTATTAAAGTATACCTATTTTGGTCAATATTTTAGTTATACCATTCTAATCCACCTTTTATTTCTGTGTTTCACTAACATTTTTAACTCTCAAACTCATATGACAGTGACCTGCGAATGAGTGTTTTGTCCAAACACTTCTCGGCTCCCTCCGAGTCTCCGTCTTTTATACCTAAGAATGTAAGTACCAAATTTGGTTCCAGTCGGTTCAGCCGATTAGCCGGAAATTTGAGTACAAACAGACATACCGACAGATGGACGTACATCATAGAGGTTTTGTTTGTGTCGGAAACCTGGTGCTTCAAAACGAGTATTTCCGTCAAAAAAAATTTTTTCAAATTTACTCGATAAGATCCATTGCCAAAGATAAATATTGATGATCTGTTGTATATTTAGTATTCAAGGGTTTAGTTATTACATAAATTGTTACGGTAAGAAAGATTTGATTAAGGTGTAAATGAACTTAGTTGATTCAGCCGAAGCTAAATTTCAACAACAATTAAGTTATTTAGAGTAAGAAATGAAATGGCCGTTTCAAAGTAAACTTTAATCCCAAATTCTAATAGGGGAAACTTATACACTGCCCTTTTTGAGCCCCGAAAAAAAATTGTCTCAGACCGACAAAAATTTTCTTATAGAATGTGGCCTGTAGAATCCATAATTTCAAACAATTCCAAGATTGGGCTACTAGTTCAAAAGTTACAGCCCTTTGAATTTTCTTTCGAAATTGGTTTCTAGTCTATAACTTTTGATTGAGAAGTCTGATCGAAAAAGTACGAATTGATTTGGATTATACGCATCCAAATTAATAAGAAAAAGTGTTTTCCCGAGAAATTTTAGTGTAGTCGATTTTTGGTAAAAAAGGAAGGTTATACACTGCCTTCTTTTGAGCCCCGAAAAAAAAATTGTCTCTGATCGACCCGGAAAAAATTTTCTTATAGAATGTGGCCTGTAGAATCCATAATTTCAAACAATTCCAAGATTGGGCTACTAGTTCAAAAGTTACAGCCCTTTGAATTTTCTTTCGAAATTGGTTTCTAGTCTACAACCTTTGATTGAGAAGTCTGATCGAAAAAGTACGAATTGATTTGGATTCTACGTTCCCAAATTAATAAGAAAAAGTGTTTTCCCGATAAATTTTGGTGTAGTCGAATTTTGGTAAAAAAGAAAGGTTCGTGAACCTGTATTAGTAAACGAATATTGAGTCTAAAGGGGAGAAGCATACTATTTGCAGAAAAACAAAACCGTTGCAAAATGTCACCCAATAGAGGGGCTTTACAGTAAGACCGGTGGAAAATAGTGCCCAACGTGGGACTTCACAGTAGGGATCGATGCAAAATGAAGAAAATAAGTAAATATTGGAAAAAGTCTTTGCCAATTGTCGAAAATAAATATCTATCTATTTGGTTTAGAGTTTTTGTTGAAGCAAATAACACAAAATCAACTCCGAAGGTAAGTCCAGTGATTCCTGACCTGAAGGAAGTGGGTATCCACGTGTCCTGTGATTTGCTGAGCTAGCCCGAGGAGTTATTAAGTGGCCAGTTTCGTGCCATCGAATTCAAATTAATTACTAGCTTGTATTTTCTCTTGCGTTATTTTTTCGGACGTTGAATTCCTGGACACAGTTACAGAGAACCACTCCTCAATGCATGTCAGTAGGTCTTGAACTATAAGTTAATAAGCAAGAGGTAATTTACTGTGAATAAATTAATTTAGTTACCACGCACATAGTCTTCATCAGAAAACTAGAAACACGTTCGTTAATAACAGAACCTCGTTCAGTTTTCTGTAACAATTGCTTGATTAGTTCTGTTCACAACGTCTAGAAAGTATCTGTACAAAGCTTGTCGATTGTTCCCAGGATCATCCAACTTAATGGTTTGTTGGTTTTCGAATTTTGTTTTTATTACCCTTGTACGTTCGATGAAATTTATCGACGCCGTATGATAAATGACGCTTAAGAAAACCGTTAACGTAAATCTTTTCCGAGGCGAAATTGAAAGAGCAATATTTCGGGGGGTGTCACGATCGAAATGTATGGACGCAATCCCATTTCATTGCGAAATTTACATTCTCGAAAACAATATCGAATTTCTTCAACGAGTTTTTCGAGCCAATATCTTACACATACATAAATAGTCAACAACCCTGAATTTATATTTGAACACAAAACGTAAAGCTCTGAAGGGATAGTCGCTTCATCTTAAATTCTAAATCGATGTACCGTCAACTCGCGTTACGCAAAGCTTGATGTTTGCCTATAAAATTCTATTTTAAAACGCTTTATCGTGCTAAAAGCGAAATAAAACTCAATTAGTGGCCTCTACTTTCGGGTTTTCTTGTAAATTATTTAAAGTGGATGGAGCGGAAATTTGCTTACATTATGCACGTGGGAAGTTGACAAAGCCGCGGCGCTAACTAAAGCACTGCTACTTGAGAGACCGGCACTTTGAGGTATAATTCCGCTAACCGCCACATTAAAACCTTTAATACTGGTTTCCTTTGGTAAAACATCTAAGAGGCCCCTTACGCCGCATAAGAAGTACTGATACCACTTCGGCGCTTCATCCCCAATGGAAATTCTGTAACACATCCCTTTGGAATATCAACACTCATTCACGCCAAACTTACTCGAACTTCCTAAGGTCGCACTCGTAATCCTCATACGACGGATCTACATTTGTCAACCTCAACGTCTCGCCATCCCCAATAGACACGGATAACATAATATCTTGCTCTAACGCCATTGGGCACACGCTGTATCCACAATAATCAATGTGCTCCCCGATAAGGTTGACCCTAAAATAAAAATCGGGCTTTAGAGTTTCCCAGGGCGAATTCCGCTCTGAATTTATTTCCGAGATTTGCTGATGTAGTAGAGCTTATGCGTTCGATCAGTTTAAATTTGTGGCTTCCTACGCTGGCGTTTGATGCAAATAATAGTCGTATTACTGGTGCACTTTGTTCCTCTTCACTTGCGTTACTATATCAGTACTTACCCACACAAATAATGTGGATAATGGAAACATTTTAGTAAAGGCCTACTTTACCCAAGCAACATAATGAGAAGAATGCCATTTGAGGTTTGCGAAAATCAACTAGAATAATGAGGATGCAAAATATAGTATTTACATACTGGTTTTAAATTAGAAAGCAATTCAATTTTCTTATCGGTCAATAAACGTGGAAAATGCCAGTATTTGCGTTTGATAAAATTTGCTATCTGTAAAAGTTACGATATTTCTTGGTCAGCTGCATATCATTCTACTTCGTTTTTTTGCATTGAAATAAAAATTCACTGTGTGTCATTTGTTGTGCAACACTACTGAGTTGTACAACTAATTCACGTAGGTCGTAGATATAGGAAGTTTTCTAAAATATTCATAGAAAAGCATTATCCTATATAATTAATATATTCACAACACAGGTTACTAGTTACAAAGTTTTGAAGTTCAAAATGGACTATCCTCTCATAACCATCTAAGTTTTACTTGATGAAAAGAAAGTAGTAGTTTTATAGTAAAATGTTAGAATGTAATTTGTCTTCTACAATATTTAGTTTATTTCCAAAAATACCGAAACAGCTGCTTAACGAAATACACCACACCGTCACAATTTTCTATTTTCCTCTTCTTGTCGGCGACTTCCTGTCCACTCCTGGACAAAGATGGCTATGTCTATGAGACCATGAAAAGACCTATAAAGTAAGCGTTCAGAGTAACCAGGGCAGAAAATGGCACAACAATTTACTAGTCAATTGTAACGACCTTATTATTCCATTTATTAAGACACGATTTCAATTGAATAATGACCCCTATTATACCACTAGTGATACAATGAATAATTTCACTGCTTAAACTAATTCCCTTGCAAAAACTGACACTTTGTTCTTTATAATACATATAAACAAGTAAAAGATTTCCTTGTCCCTTGATTTTGAAACAAATGTTGACATTTTATTAACGAGAGACAAAGAGCGAGTTCATGATTTTGGATTTGTGTCCGCACGTCCGTCTGTGCACATGATAACTCTGCCCACTTCTGTACATGATAACTCGAGAACGGTCTCGAATTTTCAAATTCTGTTTTCAGTAATAAGTAGACAATGGCGATGGAACTAACTGATTAAATTTTGGTCATTTGGACTTTCTGTCCGTCCGTCTGTGTACATGATACTCCGTCCGCTTGTGTACATAATAACTCGGAAACGGTTTCGAATTTTCCAATTCCGTTCTGGGTATTCGACCAACCCCGACGGTTATAACCTTATTTAGTTTAGGTAACTTAAAGCCAATTTTCTTAAAATGACATATAATTCACGTAAAAAGGATTACCTGGAAGGACAATGCCCTTAAAGTCACGAAAGAAAAGTTTAAGCGCAAAAATTATCTCTGGGGTAACTGAGTATACCCCGCTCCGGTAATGTTAGATTATAATTAGAAAAGAGAGGTTAGAGAATTTTAAACATAAAAAATTACAAAAGAAAATGTGAACAAAAAACGATTTTATTCATTTATTTATTATCCCTCTCTTGTTCTGGGCCCTCAACAGGCTTGCGCCCAATTACAGAGTTCTCATCATTTTTGCCACAGATAGGGTCAAGAAAAGGATGAGCAATCTAGTAAACAAGGTAAGGAAAGAAAGGGTTTACTCGAAGAGTTGAAGGAAGGAGTAATGTGCCGAAAAAATGTGTGGAAAATTATAGGAGAATTGATATAATAACTAGAACCTGTGCAATGATACTGAACGAAAGAATAAAAAAAGAAAAGAAGGGGATGGTGGAGGGAACAGAAATGGGCTTCAGGGAGGGGGACGATCGACCGCATATGTGTATTACACAGATTCGTCGAAAAGGAATTGGAAAAAAGGGCGGAAAGCCGTTTTGCCGGTTTGCAAGGAGTTAAGGGCAGCGCTTGACAAAGTGGAAAGAGAAAAAGTATTCATGATGATGACAGAAAATTTTAATGAGGGAATTTATCAATAGGAAATCTATGACGTTAATGATCTAACGGTACGTATGTACCAAAATCCAGAGTTTAGAATTTCAAAGACCTAGGCTTAAGCTAATAGCTATTTTTGAGATAGTAGGTAATTAGATCATAGGTTGACGTAAAAAATAAAGAATGGCTTTCATTGAGTACACCTGAAAATGGTCTTAAACCCTTAAAAATAAGGAAAAAGATGATGTAGTTTTTTTTAGCATTTTACTACGATTAGTGCTTCAAGAATCAGAGCAATCCCTCACCAACTTAATGAAACGTAATAGTTCTACTTACAAAATTTTGGTTTGGAAATTTAGACCCTCATTTTTACGCATTTAGTCGTAATTTTTTATACACATAGGACTGTATGTTTTGCAATATCTATATATAATTTACAAAATATACCACTCACATTTCTCCGTTAATAATTATTTTTCGATGTTGGAAAGTTGGTAAAGGTAAAGGAAAACAGGATGGTTACTTTATTTATTTAAGGTAGAAGGTTCCATCAAGATATGAAAGGAATGGAAAGCAGTGATGTCAAGGGCACTATTCGCGCTTACTATTAATTAAAGATGAAGTGGAATGAAGGGGGTAAAAAATCACAATACTAGGGAAATTTTTCCCTAATAAAACAAGTGTTGTATCAGGTTTGTCATTTATTTGTATTAAACGAAATATATTGTGTCCAAAGCCAATGAATAGCTTTATTATTTAATTTCACGTGCATGCTTTTGAATATGTCTATATTTTATAATCAAAGCTTCATACATGTACCTATCAATTATTCCCCTATCAACTCTATTTATTAAACGTGAGCGGTGAATATTGTATATGCATTGTATATTACACTCGATATTACATTAAACAGTTTTTTTACTATTAGTTGGTTTATGATACGTTTAATACTGGTATTCAAAAACCAATAACTTCTAAAAACGCAGAATGCAAGTTTTCTATTTATTTCCCTGATCGTTCAAGCACATTATTTGGTCAGACTCATTAATCTCCAATCAAGAGAAAGACTGGAAGTCGACACCTTACTAGATCCAGATCGAACAATCATTCACAGTATTCTAAAGCAGCGCATCAAGTTAGAGAGGAAGAATAGGATTTTTCTTTAATTTTTAATTCTAGTATAAAGCTAGATTACAAATCGAAGAAAGAAATGGCAATTATTAATGTTTAAAAAATACAAGTAAGCAAGTTTTGCTGAGAATTGTCCTTTGACATCAAAGGTAATTAAATTTTGGGAATTTTCTGAACATGAATTATAATAAATTCAGTTTTATTTTTGTGTGAAAACGGAAAACCTTTGTGAAAATCATTTAAAAAAGATGTTTTAACGTAACGAGATTACCTACTGGTAAATAACCAGCAGTGGGCAGCAATTAAGTAATCTTACAGTATCTCTCAGAAGTTTTTTAAATTGAGGAAAATGGAAACAGTCCTATGTTCATTTTATGAAAGAATATTTAAACTTAGGTACATCATACCCTTATTCATCATTTTTAAAATAGCAGTGTGGATATTACTTATAGTCCAGTCAGTAGGATACGAATCAGGCCTTTGACCTACAAAAAGTGGTGTCGTTGATTTTTTTTAAATATGCTATTGAGATAATGGTGGTTGAAACAAAAACCATGTTTTCGGCCTTGGGAAAAGACCACTTTTTAAAAAATTGTTATAACCATGTAATAAATATCGAGAAACACTAAAAAAAATCACAAACTTTGGGCAAAAGAGTTCATATTTCCGCCGCTGTAACTCGGAACATATTAGAAGTACTTACAAAAAAAGTGTATAACAAAAAGGTGTTAAATGTCTTCCTTGCATTTTATTTGAACCTTTTTTTCGTAAGATCAACCGCTGCGGAGTTATTTTGAGAAAACATGGTTTTCGTTTCAAGGCCCAGAACCCAACACAACATATTAAAAAAATGACTACCACACCACCTTTTGTAGGGCAAAAATCCCTACTGAATGGACTATTAATGTACCACGCTGTTTTCAGGAAACCTTAATGGTCCTAAAATTCGAGTTGTTTTCGATGTTTGAATTAGACAGATTCAACAATGGGTACAGGACAACCTTATTGCAATACTTTTTGGATTTCTAACGCATAAAATGGTTTTATCCAGAGATATTACCAAAATGTATAGGTTTCAATACCACAATGCTTGCAAGCCGTTATAAACGTTTGTCTTAGAAACAGTAACTTATGGTGCTACTTGTGCACCATTTTTAGCAACAATAGTACTTAAAAAACAGGCAATAGGATGAAATAAAATTTCTTTTTGTATTGCCAACTAAATAATGGATCATGATTTATATGTGGATGAATGACTGGACGATCACTTCTTAAAAACGAAATGATTGTACTGGTACAAAGAGAGCGAGAGCATAGAAATGCAGAGCACCGTTCTATAAGCCTGTTAGTGCTTGCTGCGAAAATTCTATTGAGGGTGGTAGTTGGAAATCTGTGTTTTTTAACAATTAAAGCTCGAATTAAAGTGTGTCCGATTTGCAGACGATATGACACTTATTTGGCAGACAATGTTACAATGACATATCGTTTGAAAATAATGAAATAAATGAAAAGTACTAATGGAAATCAAGAAAACGGAAACGTTAATAATTGTCCACGTAAGGAATGAAAGTATCTTGGAACTACAGTAACGGAAGAATGGAAAAGCATGGCCGCAATAAACACAACAATAGGAATAGCTCGAGAAATAGCTAGTAAAATTGAGTGTCTTTTTATACGGGCTATGAAACGTGGGCATTAGGTGGGAGGGAGAAATCTGGAAGATTAATTATGGAAAAGCGCTTTGAATATCAAATGGTTAGATAGAGCTAGGAATGAAGATGTGCTATTGAGAATAAGGGTGAAAAGAAAGCTGCTAAACACTATAGCCGTAAAGTAATTGGATTAGGAAGAACTTTTTGTTGGGAGAGGTGTTGGAAAGGAAGTGTGGAGGGGAGAAAGAAGAAGAATCACAATGATCAGCGAGTTGTATGGAAGAGAAGAATATGGGATGATCAAGCGAAGAGCTGCTGATAGAAAAATGGTGACACCAATCATTTGCGCGTGCAGAGTACCATTGATGATGATGGGGACTCCAAAAATTGTTTAGGCTTTTGAATTTTGTGGGGACTGTCGCATTTAGATAGCTGCATTCAATAAAAAAAAAGCTTTTGAAAATCTTACTTGCAAATTATGTAAAAAGCTTGAGCAAGAAAATACTTATTATTTTACAATTATGGCCACAAACTTTCAGCTGTTCACGGTTTGTGAAGTGAAAGATTTTTAAAATAAGGTAAAGCTCAAGACTCTCTGCTTCCTATTTCAGGGTTTCTTTCAGCACTCCCAGAGGATTAATGTAATTTAATCGAAAACCCGCCTACAGAATTTCGCTCTTTAAAATATATGTGCTATACGCAATGTAATACAACTAAAACAAGTAATGCGACACAATTATTTACTGTTATTAGTAGGTATTTGTTTACGTTAGAACCACTACAACATTGAAACTCAGTCGAACCTTCTATAAGATGCTGCTCTCCTGTTAGCGCAAAAGCGTCAAGAATCCCAAACCGCTGTGTAATTTTATAAGGTCGAGTTGCAAATATGCCGAATATTTTTCCAAAAATTCAATTGTGATACTAAATAAACTGTACGTTGTACATACGTAACGTAATAATACAAAAATGTATAATTTGCTTGTTATCTCTACCAAGGATAATCCTAACACAAACAATGGAAAATAAAAATTTCAAGGCAAAAACCGAATTTCGTGGCAAAATTGATTATCCATTGGCTGGTGACAAAACTTGAAATGTAAATAGTGTAGGTTACTAACCTTCCGGGCACCCGAACATAAAATGCAGGTTCCTGCTGGAATTTTGCGGCAAAACGTTCTAGGAGCTGCTTGGATCGATTCGTGTGATTCATTCTTGAAATTGGTACGAAACCATTGTCAGCCTGGATCTCCATAACTTTGTACTTTTGTCACAAAATATCAGCAATCACTAAGCTTTCCAATTTTGAATTATAACAAACGGACGAAACTTCTACGTGGAAGGATAGCCGATATCTAATCAAGTTTTTTTTAAGAAAGCGCTAAATTTGCGGGGGAAACGGTGCCTGTAACGAAGTGGCAGTTGGGTTTAGTAGCAATAGATGCCATTGGCCACATTTTGAATTCATTTTTGGCTAGTTCAGGCATTTCTCTTTTTTTTTATAGTCATAGTTCTTTCTGCTAGAGTCAGATTTTCCATAGAATTTTTCTCAAAGCCTGTAGACTATCAACTCTTTCGTACATACCGCCTTAGAAATGGAAATTTATGGCATTAGAGAGTCCTCTGGCATTGTTATATCTAAACAATCTCGTTTCTGAACAGGAAACGCAATCAAAAAGCGCCCGCTTTTGTGTTTCAGGAACTCGACGCTAGATATGCAACGTCTACTTCTCCAATAACAGTCGCCACCTACGGCAACTACCCGAATTATATCGAATCGGTGGGAAAATTGATTTTTAAACGCTCTCTCTGATATTTGAGGATTCAAGTTAGTATTACATTTTATTTCTATTTCCCTTACTGCGTGCAAACTAAATCCGTACAACTTCCACGCGAACGATGACGAACGTTCGGTCTGATATTGTGCGACAATGCAAGAAAATTAGTGGGAAGTCGGCTGGAAGTTATAGAGGCCCGTATGTTTGTAACGGTAATGTTGGATACCTACGTAGATCGGTAGGCTTTAACTAAATCCTCCACTACGTTTTATCAGTGTAAGGGGGTTAAAACTGCTGTATTTGCAGAAACGAAACAATTTTATTGCTGCTATAACTTCTTTACGCTACATTTTGCTTTCCGTCTTATGACTTTGATTTTACCTATTTTGTTTACGTTCTCTCTCATTGAATTACGCTTTCACTATGAAATTTTAATGCCGTTTTATATGGGTTTATAAATTAAATAGTTTCATAATACCTAATTCATTAAAGGATCTTATTCAGGGGAACAGCAGTTCAAACAAGGATGAAGTTTGGGATACGGTCACAAATACTGGTTAATCAGGGTGGCTCAAAAATGTATAACGTTAGCCTACCAGTTGATGGAGTTTTTCACCTTTATTCACACCACCATTTGTTATAATCTCTATAAAGTACTGCAAATCTCCACTCGTCGCCAATCAATTTGAACGGCAAAAGTACATCGTCGCCTTCGGGGGAAAATCGCTTACTTAACTTTACAGGAGGAGCAAAAAATTCTATCAAAGTGAAATTTTGGAACGCAGAACGTAATTAAATTATAAATAGTTTATTTTGAGACTATAAATGATATTTAATAAAGTAGATAAGATACATTTTTACGTTAATAAATTTTGCTTACGATTTCCCATGTGATTTTTCATAAAATTATTTATTCGAGTTTTGTTAGGGGTTGTTTTGGTGGTTTTCTTTTTACATTATACGATTTTCTACCAACAATTACGTATTGTGTTGTACCCAGGCCAGCCCCGAGAGATTGCGCAACTCAAGATTTTAATTCAAAACTTTCCTTCCCAAACTAACTGAACCCCAGTCCCCAAGGCACATGATCGTCTCTAGACAAAGCTACCTAACCTGAATAACAAAATAATAGGACCGAAACTCGAAATTAAAACTTGAATTCAACATTAGAAATAAATTAAAAAACCCTAGAAAAAATCAAAGGTATCCTTAAAATGTACATACCACTTTAAATAAGAGCGCTAATTATAGATGAACGTGCAACAATCGTCGTTCGAAAATCGTATTAAATATCAGCCGAAACCTAAAGAAGATATACGTCAAGTAGATATAAGTAAAGTAAATATACCGGGAACAATAATAATGCTTCTAATGAAGAAAATTAATCGTTATAGAGTACCAAAGGCGTTGAACGACAACAAAGACTTTAAGTACGAATATCTGCCGAAATAATGTTTAACGAAACGACACGTGTCTGTTCCTGAATCCCAGAAAAATTTGCTGATCAACCTGGCGAATAAAGATAGTTTAATTGATCAACTGAAGGAAAAATTGGAATGTGTCGGTATCCAAGAGTTTTCTGCCACAGATGATGCTGATTCTTGAATTGTCCGGACTGCTTTTAAAGAAGCCTGTCCCACGGCAAATGTGGTGGGACAGGATGTCGATTATCTTATTCTTATAACTGCTCTTTCTCCTCCTGTTGAAGATATTCGATTTTTAAAAGAGATGTTCAAGGAAACATCAAAGAAAGGGCATATACTTCTCTTGATTGGCAGAATTCGAAAGTCCTTCATATCTCTAAAATAATATATTATTTGCTCGCACATTCAGTGAATATGATCCACGATCGGAATTTTTTCGCAAAGGGAAAGCACTAACCAGCGCAATCAGCCAAATTTTGATGCCAATTTACAAAATGTCGCAGGTTCTTTTTTTTTTTAATTTCGACGTATTACTTTGATATGTCCTTATTCGTTTATAACATAACTATGGGTCTGGATTGCTTATTTCTCTCACTAGTGGTGACGGTAGGAAACTGAAAATAATTTCCAACGTTTTCTCTTTCCCACGTTTACATGAAAAAGTTGTTATTCACAATCATCCTGTAAGTGTAACGTGTAGCATAATTGGTACGTACCTAAAAGGGTGAGGAAGTTGTATTTATCCACATTCTCTTTACCATAAGGGCCGAAAGTAGATTCTAGCGGTTAGTAATGACTTCTTCCCACCCTGTTGATAACTTTCTGTTTGTTAGATAGGTGCGCAATATATTTGCACATTTAAAATTGGCGTTGGATCATTGAATAAACAACTCTTTTATTCAATGGTTGGATGTAGAACTTGGAGGTCCGTATTATTACGTGTAGTGAAAATTTTAAAAAGCCATTGTTAAGATTTTATAATATTAAGTAACTGGTATAGGGGAGAGGCGAGCATAATGACATACCTACGTAGTTATTTACTCAGGCAATTTCTTAATTCAATGTTATTTATAGGTCGATAGCCAAAGATTTTCTTTACAACCTCTTTTAATAAAATTAGTTTTATTTGAAAGTTTTTATTAAGATCGAACCTAACATATTTTTTAGGTTAGGTAAATCATACGAATCATACGAAAATAATTCACAAAAAGAACATGAATGTAAAAAATGCAGTAACAGAATACCAAAGTTAATCCTTGTAGAGTTCAGGAACATATATTTGACCCTTACCTTGGGATACCTGCACAATAGGCATATGCCCACTACTGTCAGTATGGATCTTCTTCTTCGCTCGTTTCGCTTTCAATTCGCCCTTGAATTAGCCTAACACTTCCCTCATATCTGTGACTTTTTCTCAAAGGTTCTTGATCTTTTTCCTTTTTATTATCCCCTAGGTCCCTCCTAACCTCCTATCAACAATATTTCTGTTTTTCTTTCTTTTTTGTTCTTGGCCTTTTTGAGTTTTTTTTTCAAGAATACTTTGGACGCTTTCGGTTAACACATCTTAGTAAGAAACAGTTTTGCGTTTGGAGGTTTTTCTGACGTCAATTTGTGGCATTGGTGATAATTTTTGTAATATGTCTTGAATATCGTCGTTTTTTCAAGAGCAAGAAGTTTCTGGTTCATTTATTCCCACACAGGGTGTTTGCGCTTCTTTATTATTTCTTTGGGGCTGCTCAGGATTTTCTAGTTGTTCATTTTCTTTGTGCGAAACTGCTCTTTCTGCAATGTCCGTAGTTAAACTAGGTAAATATAGATGGTCAAGAAATATGTTCCGGATTAAATGGCGATATTCTCGTAGCACGGAAAAGCACTAGTTTCGTAGACATGATTAAAAGTTTGGACACCTGGTAAATGTTGACTGTGCGTCTGGGATTTTCTTTTAATCACTAGGTCGACTTTTTTCACGATCCCCTAAATGTCATAGTTAGTCAAATTAGATCATAAGCCTACTGTATGTCCAGAGCCTCAGTACCATGTAATTGGAATTTTCTTATTCTGTATGGCGTCTGGTTAAACAAATAAATATATAAATAAATGAAACACTTCATTTTCATGTTTATGTTTTATGTTTCCACGAGAGTGGCAGTAGCACTTTAATAAACCACACCACCCTCGCTAGAATCCAAAACAATTCGTACTGTTTCGATCAGACCTTTCAATCAAAAGTTATAGACTAGAAACCAATTTCGAAAGAAAATTCAAGGGGCTGTAAATTTTGAACTAGTAGCCCAATCTTGGAACTGTTTGAAATTATGGATTCTACAGGCCACATTCTATAAGAAATTTTTTTTTCCTGGTCGATCTGAGACAATTTTTTTTGGGGCCTCAAAAAAAAAGGCAGAAAATTCAAAGGGCTGTAACTTTTGAACTAGTAGCCCAATCTTGGAACTGTTTGAAATTATGGATTCTACAGGCCACATTCTATAAAAAAAATTTTTTCCGGGTCGATCTGAGACAATTTTTTTTTCGGGCTCAAAAAAAGGCAGTGTATAACCTTCCTTTTTTACCAAAAAATCAACTGCACCAAAATTTCTCGGGAAAACACTTTTTCTTATTAATTTTGGTGCGTAGAATCCAAAACAATTCGTACTTTTTCGATCAGACTTCTCAATCAAAAGTTTTAATTGTACTTTTTAACAGAAATCTGAATATGAGAGAGTAGAATATAAAAAAATGCACAGCAGAAGATTTAAAAAACCATACCATTGAGCAAAATTTCCTAATTACGGCACAGTGGCAGAAGGCTCGCTAGGTAAAAAACCGTTTGAGATCGACTATGGGTCAAGATCGTTAGATCAATCTCGATACATTAGCTCTTGAAGCTCAACTTGCTAGAGAAATTAATTTTGAGCGAGTGATATTCACTTTTGCTAATAAGAAAATCCGCAGAGTCAAATTGTAATTTGGTTATTTGAATTCTAACAATTCATAATAAATTATGAAAATTACTGTGTCTGTATGAAAATTATTCAAATGTTCTCGTTTCAAATCTAGGTAGTCAAGATTGAAAATGTCTAGTTTCTAGTTTCGGTGGTTACAAAAATAATTTCAACATGAACTAATTACGGCATCTCCTTGTCTCCATGGCACCGGGGAAAG